GACAAGTTGATGAGGTGTGTCAGTGCAGGTGCTAACTGAAAAGAGCAGGATACCAGGAGAAATGGTCAGATCCCATCTGGTCCTGCGGCTGTTGAACCTCGAACCTTTTTAAGATGTTTCATCACTGCTTCCACAGACACAGGAACAAAAACCCTTGGTAATAAGGAAATGGCATCTGTCGGAAGGCTGGAGGCAGTGGGAGTGTGGAGGAAGTTTGCATTTAAACCATCTAAATCTAAGTCAGCATCTACAGACAACCTTACGATGGGGAGGTGCACAGCGTGTTGTGGTGACTATCAGACGTGAGCCGAGGCGAATTTAGTCTCAGGTGGGAATGGGGGGTAATGGCGTACAGGTAAAATTCAGCATGTCTAAGCATGCGTTGCAAGCTGTTATTGTTCAGGTGGACGTCGGTCGGTCCACCTTTATCGGGTGACCTCCTAGTGAACGTCAAGTTTAACATGTCTGTTTAGCTAACCGCATTAGGGTACCACGCTTCGATAAATTCCCGTGCTTGTTTATAATTAGCCATTACGACCACTTCAGTGCTTTCCCAATTGAAGTGACGATCACAGCGAAGAGCATGCGCAAACACAAGAGATAGGGGGTCTCGGCAGCGGATGACTAGCTGGTGTTCGTGAATACGAGTTCAAAGTTTCCGACCCGAGTGACCAATATAAACAAAACTACAGTTTGAGCATGGAATGCGGTAACTAACGTTGTTTTGATGTTCTTTGGGTATGGGATCTTTTACCAGGGATAATGCTGCGCGTAGGAAGGACGCCGGCTTCTGGACAGTGCAGATGCCAAACTGGTTTAGTTGTCTGGCAATAGTTTCAGAAGTTCGTCGCATGTAAGGCAAAGAAGAATATTTCCTTTGCACCACTTCCCCATTAGAACTCTGATCGTGTGGCTGACTCTGACGTCGGAGACAGTTCCTAACGAAACTTCTCGGGTATCCGCTGGACCGGAATAATTTGTATAGGTGGACAAGTTCTGTTTTTAAGTAGAGACTTGCTGCTGCAGTACCGATAGGCGCGGTGAAAAAGAGTTCGAACGCAGCTTATTTTGTGGGCCACAGGATGGTTGCTCCCATAGTTGAGGATAATTTCGGCATTGGAATCCTTTTTGGACGCTGGTTGTGAGATTGTCATCATCCAGTTTTTGCACACTGACGTCGAGAAACGGTAGAATTATTAGGAGGTTTGGCAGATTTGCTAAATTTGAGTTGACCCAATTGTGAAAAAACTCGAAGCGTTTGGCGGGATTTGAACCCGCGCACCAGAGAAGACCTTTGCCGGAGGTCAATGCTCTAATCGCTAAGCTACAAACGCCGGCAATGATCTTCTCTGATGCGCGGGTACAAATCCCGCCAAACGCCTTGAGTTTTTTTCACTATTGGGTCAACTCAAACGGTAGAATGTCTCCTGTTGCTTCTTCGCGAGTAAACTGTTTGTCAGGGAAGACATCGTTAAGACTATGGTGTGGCCGCTCAACTTTGCTGCATTTTATAACAGCGGAAGTATCATCTACGTAACGTAGCCATATTTTTGATGTTATCGTGTGAAACATGGTTTCTTCTTATCGCTGCAGAACTAGTTCGGCGAGTATTCCCAATATTGGCGAACCCACAGAGGTACCCTTCACTTGCTGGTAATATTTATCATCAAATTGGCAATAACTCCTAAGGCAGAGTCCGAGCATATCTAAAATTTGCTGCTTCAGAATGTCAATGGGAGCTTCATCTAAGCACCGAGCTACACTATCAATTGCCAGGCTGTGTGGAATGGAGGAAAATAGAGCAACCCCATCGAATGCTAGAATACATTCCTCTGCTCTGCAATATATATTTATCTCGTAAAACTCTTGTGCGCCGATCATGTTTCGGGACGTGTTTAATCTGCAGTTGGGTATGACGAAAGCTTCAATATCAAAATGGATACCGCAGTTTACTGATATTACGCAGTCGAGCATGCAGTCTAACGAGCACGACGCCAATAAAAATGTCCACCCGACTTGATACCTCAACCTCATCAGTTTGTATATTTAGACCAAGTAGATTATTCCTAACGAAACCGCCTGTTGTAATAAGTGAGAAGAGATTTAAGAGCTTTGCGTAATGCAAAGACCATGCACAATGTGCTGAGTCCGCTGTGTTTGCGGCAGGCATCGACGGACTGTAAGGATTGGCCAAACATTTGGATGTCCTGAAACTTCTGTCGCTGAGCCTGGTAGCGTGAGAATGTAGGAGTGCGGTAGATGCTACCCACGTCTACTATCACTGATAAACCAGTTAATGAGGTAGTCTACTTCATCATTCAGCATTGTGCTGTTAAATACCAGCTGATCATCCTCATCCGCCTCCGTTAATTTTACATTCCTTTCGATTCCTGTAGAGAGCACGGACAAAATTTCTTTTGATTTTGAAGAATTCAGATGAGTAAAAATGTCTCTGTTGGGAAAAGAATGCATCAACTTGCGCTTATCATTACATAAGGTGCCCTTATATGAAGGTGACGGGAAATAATTCCAGGAATTATTGCAATTCACCCGGGGAACTCAAAGATGATTTGCGAATATTATGGTTTATTGTACAGTAGGTGATGTATTAAATGAAAAGTCCTAGACTTCGTAGTTTAGCAAATATTTGGTCACACTCCGTTAATCTAATGAGTGGAGTTGATCCCAAAAAAGCCAGTTTTGTTTACTGTACGTGAGGGTAACATACATAAATTTGGTGAAGTCTGAGGTCACATGATTTCGAAAAATACCATATACTATTAATTAAAACGGAAGTAAACCTTTTATATACGTGCTTTGTGCTATGGCTGAATCCGAAAATAAACGTAAAACGTTTACAATATATCCCTCCCAGAAAGTTTTTACGACAATTTGGGACAAAAACATCAGATACTGGCCAAACATATTTTTTAATGTGAAATTGTTCCATTGACTAATAGAATTAAATATGCGAGGTCCAGGAAGCAGTTCAGAGGAAGAATAAGCGACAACTAGAACAAGAGTTTTATTGTCCTGACGTTTAGGATTCCGTCGGGAATCCCTAATCACGGGAACTCGTCGAAAAGTCTGAGACATACGCAGATAAGTGGGATACATGCACAGATTGCTAGGTATTTATAGTTCGTAGCGGTCATCCACATGCATACTTGTCAGTTCCTGTAGCCACCGCTTGAGGTCTTAATTGGTGCGGTGATGCCTCATTAATTGCCAAAATGTACTTGTTCGCGTCGGATGCGGGCTTGATAATTGCGCGACAATTATGCCCGCTGTCGTCA